CGCGGTATTGAATTTTTTCAGATATTTTATATTTTATTTTTCAAAATACCTCCTGGCATTGCAAATATTTTTGACCACTGCGTAATACTTTGGGGAAGGATGAATCCCCACTCCTCCGTGCCCCCATCTCTCCCTCTCTCTCTCTCTCTCTCTTACACACACACACACACACACACACACACACACACACACACACACACACACACACAGATACTACTACACAATTCCTGCCAATCTGCACAGAAAAACACCGCTCTGGGTTATTCATCGATTGACCATTCAAATCCCAACATATGCTGCTCTGCTTCTATTCCACTGTGTTCTCAGAAATGGACCATTTCCTAATTCTTCCACAAGGCTTCCTGCCCTGTTCAGGAGTCACTCGCACACCATGTAAATGAGAGGAGGAAAAAAAAAGTAGGAAGGAATTTAAATTGATCCAATACGTGTGCAAATGTGCTTGTGCACATGCGCACGTGTGTGTGTGTGTGTGTGTGTGTGTGTGTGCCGCTGTGAACATTTTGACCTATATTTGCGGAAAAAATGCAAGGACAATATATCATCCCAAGTTGTGCTCTGTAGCCTTGAAGTAAATTACCCCAATGATAAATATCGTGTTGCACTGAAGTTTCCTCTGCACGGCTACATGTTTTTTAGGTACGAACGATAGCAGCAAAAGTGAAGCTGAGAGTTTGGGTTTTACTTTTACAATGTACAATAATATTCACCCCAAGTGCTGCACTGTCAACCATCTCAGCTTTACTTTGCTTTTCATGTCTTTCTACCTTTAGTCCAAAATGTTTTCCTCTCCGAGACCCCCTCCTGGTTTTACCCCTGTCGTTTTCCTTTTCTTATCCATCCTTTTGATCACCTAAAACATCAGTCCATCACTACCAGAAGCTGTGGTTTATGTCTCCCTGCTGTCCATAGCTCGCTGTCTGCCTTCCAGTGAGAGCTCCTCCCCGCTGAGCCGCTGCCCGTTTGCCAAACTCGAGAGTTTGTGAGCGAAGTGAGCAGGTTTTACATGGAGGACTGCCTTAATGTTGTTCAGTTGGTGGGCAGCCACACAGGGCGCCTCACTTCAGATTCACTGTTTGTTCATCTGTGCAGGGCCACACTCATTCCTCTCTCTCTCTCTCTCTCTCTGTTCGCTCCCTCATGCACACAAAAGCACACTGCACACTATCACAACCTATATCTATCACAAAGGAAGCGCTTTCGAATTAAATAACCTGCACGAAATGAAGTGTTTCCACGTCTTGATGTATGTCGGGATATCGGCCGATATCATGTAAACACTTGGCCTGCTGGGATGTTGCTTTTCTGTCTGAGCAGTAGAGGTATGCCTTTCAACTGGGGATTAGGAGGGGACGTGGCCTCTATAGGGCTCCCTCAGAGCAAAGCCAGTCCTCCCATGTTAATTTTTCAAGGTCAAGAAGAACCTCTGCAATGTTTCAGCTTTGAAGGTGGACGGAAAATACAATAACAGGAACCCTGCTGTATAGGGAAAAAAAAAAGAACACACCGATTCAATACCGCCACGTACTTGTTTGCAAAGATCAAAGAGGCCAGATACAGAGGTGTCTCAGGCCCAACTACAAAAAGACAGATGTGTTGTGTGCTTAATGTGAGTTCATATGGGACTGAGTGTTGAAATAAACTTCAACATAATAAAAGGGGCAACTCATTAAAAAAAACAAAAAAAAAAACAAACCCCTGATCTGCATTATTACTGTACCAGAGCATGTTTCCACTCCTTGTTGGCTCAGGTCCTGTGGGAATTAGTATTAATATGACCATTCATCACTCACTGTCTTAACATATTATTTTAGAAGCTGTTCTGTCCAGGTATAACTGAGCTACTTTACATTGTAATAAGGCAACAAAATGCACCCGATTAAAGCAGAGAGCGTTCCCTTATGTATTTAAAAATAGGGCTTTGGAAAAAGCTACATTGCGTGTGTCCCGCCTTTTGAGATTTAATGACTATCCTGTGACTCCACAGAGAATTACTGCCAGTAATTGATTATTAAAACTTGAAATTGCCAACCACATCCATTATTTGACGAGTGCATGTGTTATCCTTGTAATTAACAAAGCTTGGCACTTACCGTTTGCCAGTTCCAAGACCCCCAGAAAAATATATCAGAGGTTAGAGAGGCGACTTATAGAGCAAGCACTGTCTGTGCAATTATCTGAGACATAATACATTACTAAAGATGCTCAATACACCAAGAAATCCCCCCCCCCCTCACACCACAACACGTTTTTAAAAACTCTCGCGCCGTGTGTAGGAAGATATGAACCATGCTAATTGTATAGCAGCTGAATTGGCTTACAATAAATGGATCACTATTGCTGCTGTTGTTAATTTTATACATTTTACGCCCAGAAAATTAGCCCTGACTTTTAGTAGTTTTGCCTTAATGTGATTTTAACCCCTGAAAACCTCATGTACAAGAGTGCATTGTTAAAATTTCAGGAAAATATGCAGAATCTCAACGTGCAATAATTGCTTCTTTTTGTATTCATCATACAAAATACCGGATTTTTCTTTTGTCGGTTCAGGATTTTGAACAACAAATGTGTTGAATGGCCTTCAAAATACACGGGGAGAGGTAAGAAACACAATACCTTCATCGTGCAAATAGAAAAGTGAAATATAAAACATGAGGTAAACTTGATCACGTGTCATTGTTCTTGCATGCACTCTTTTTTTTATCCAATCAAAATTCACCAGATACAACTTAAACCTAAATTTAATAGTACATAAAAATATGTACATGCACTCATTCTGCACACCAGTGTTGCTGTTTTGCAGACTGGGAGAAAATCCTTCCTCCTAATTATCAGTTGTTAAATAGATAAAGAAAAGTAGTGGAATAAAGCATCCACATGCATGACCTCCCCTGGCCCTGCTATAACCCTCTAAAATAACACAATTATTATTATTATTATGTGTGTGTGTGTGTGTGTGTTTGATGGGGGTTCATAAAGCATCATTGTTCATTTCTATGAAATGAAAAAAAGAAAAAAAAATGCACTTGAGCTGAGCAACGTAGCCTTAAGTCAACTACAGTCGAGGTATTGTAAATGACTGAATGTAGGTACAATTAGTTCAACACAGTCTGATGTGTGTTTCACCATTTATCTGCATTATGTGTGAATTGTTCTATTTGCCATAATAATAACATTTTTTTTTTTTTTTTTTTTTCAAATTGACCCATGATTATCTTTGCCCAACTCCACTGTGGATACTATAGAGCTGCTGGATTTGCTTCTGGCTTTAGATACTCCTGATGGGAAAGCCTTTTGCAAAGGAACAGTTAAAGCCTCTAACCTTAGTGCATCCTCAACACAAACCTATTCTCATTTCCTCACAGACTCTGCAGAGATTCAAACCCAAGCACATACAATGCCCTTTTGCGGATCAAGAGCGGTGCAAACAGCAAGGTCTTCACTTCATTGGAGATAATCAGTAATTGGCCGAAGACAGCGAAGCCAGATAATTGAATACAAACTACGGCAATGCAACAAGAGGGGCATTTAAGAACAGAGCAAAGTTGACAGCTCTCAAGTACAAAACCTGAAGTCATAAGAGTGAGAGTGCAGGCAGGAGTGAATCCAATGTAGTGGTGTGAAGTGGTACGAACAGCGGTGGTTGTCCATGAGGGCCAAGACAGAGCGGACAGAGGCTTTCTTTACTGGGAGAGATGGTGTATCCACAGGCCGTTTGGGCTGGATAGAGCTGGATGAATTCATTAAAGGAAGCGCAGTCTCTCCCAGCTGCCATCTCTCCCCCTGCAGCCAGACTCCGATCAATGGCAGGAATACATCCAAAACAACATTTAGCACAAGACCTCGGAAGCAGGGGTGCATTTAAGACTTCTCTGTGTGCGCACATCTCCCCTGGATGTGAGCACTGTTTCAAAATGTGCTATTGAAGTAGAGCAGGGGAGGTATGGGGGCAATGTGTTTGTATCACAACAGAGAAGATTGTTTAACACGAATGCTTCAAGACAAGATATTCTGCTCTATTTACTGTGCGGGAAACACAAGCCGTTACTGTATTTTCTCTAATTCTATGGAGCCTTTAAAGTGGTTTGTGAGAGAAAATAGGATTACTTCAAATTCATTGCTTGCACCTAATACTAGTTTACTCATCATCAGTGTAAGAACATCCAGGAATTATCAGTGTGGAATAAAACTACTCATTGCAGTGTATAATAATAATTATTGGTGTATTCTTAGATCATTCTTGGCACAATACATGTCAATTACTCAACAATGATGAAGTTGTGGTTGTGCAACTTTTAAGCAACTGAACTTATTTTTTTTTTAAATTGCGTCTCTGACAAATTCTATATGTGTTATGTAATTTAAATTGCACTAAACCCATTAGGATGTCAAACTTAAACTTGGACAAGCGGCAGCAAAATGCTTCTAGTACCATCTAGTGGTTATAAAATTTATAAAGTCAGTGCTGTGGAGAGCAAATAAAGTCATATGTACTGTATATATACAATATATATGTACACATACAGTGGCCAGTAAATCATACTTGACAGTGTCAGGCTAATGTGTCCCATACACAGGCTGCGTAGTGTGACTAAATTTAACTATATGCCTGATCCCATTAGGAAATTATGACTAATGTAGACCCAATAAAAATCTTTGTGAGTACAGCAGCACCCAACTGTGTGCTGATGAGACGGCTCGGTCGGACGTTTTATCTCGTGCTTAGATGTGTCATTTGTACAACAATCGTGTTCGCCCTATTTTCCATATAAAGACAGCAATGTCATATAATAACGTACTGTTTTATATTTAAAATATAAGTTGAATTTAGCAGCCTCGCGATCAGCTGGAGCCCAGAGTTTACGTAATGGGTAACATTGTGCTGGTAGTTTTCAATCAGAACTAAAACCTACTGTAATGTGGGTTTCACTAACTTTATGTTTAGACCAAAAATGTGACAATAAATGATACAAAATCATGCCTTACAAAGAGATATGGTTTATATATAAAACTATGCAGTCCATGACATTCACTGTCCAGCTTCAAAATAAAAAATAAATCATGATTTAAAATTCTTCTTTACACTACCTAGAAAGTACTGCTTCGTTGGCTTTTAAAAGTGTATGATGATTAATATCCCTATTAGCAGTAATGCCATCAAACCACAAGAGTGGCAGTAACATCAAGATACAACCACCTCAGGTGCTACAAACTGTGTACCTGCATCTTTGGAAAATATAAAACCTGAATTTCAATGTACAGTGAATTCCGATACCATCAACATCAATAATACAGCGTGTCCTTAATAGCTTAGATCTGAAACTGGTGAAGTATTTTTCACGGGTCTTGTTCTAAGAGAAAGCTCACAAGTAATTACAAATATTTCATTTAATCACATACTTTTAAAATAATGCACAGTGCAGAGCGGTGAGGTTACGTGTCAGCCTGGACATGACGCTTTTTTTTTTCTCTAATTATTTTCAATCAGGGCATGCACAGTGGCACTTCCTGAGAGGTCATTTTATCTATCCATTAGAAAAACTGGAGAAAAAACCCCTGAATACTTAGAGAAGCACTGACAATGAAAGGTAAGATAGCTTAGTTTTACTTAAATTTACCTGGATGGAGTTATATCCCACAGCATCCAGCGATATATGGTTGTTAATACACAACGATGCACTTTGTTGGGATACAACCGTCATGAGCTGTGACCGACCAGAACTGACAGGTATATATATAATTATTCTATTCATTCTGCAGCAGATTTCAGTAAAAACTCCGATTCCAGGAGTGAAAAACTATTTTCTTTCACCGCTGTCGTGATGTTGTCAGATTTAAAGCGGTCTCCAGAACACATTCAGCTTCCCAAGTAGTCAGTACAAGAAGTCATGCTTGGACTTTGCGCAATGGATTTACTGCTGCATATGCACACATTACAGGGCCGGAAAATAATGTCGCACGTGGTCTTAAGCACCAGTAGTCATTTATTATACAGTCCAATGTGAAATTTTTCTGAAAAAGAGAAAAAAAAAAGAAGTAAGGCTGGACCATGTACCACATTTTGAAAACAACAGTCTGTGTATCTTCCTCAAGGCACGAGAACACTGGGAGTGTTTGTCCAGAAGAACCTGGAGTTAAGGTGCGTGTGGGCCCTCGGGGGTCTCGTGGGTCCCTTGTTCACAGGGTGATCCGGGCACAGTGGTGCTTGAGCTTGCAGGGCAGCACCCCACGGTTTAGCTGGTAAAACTCCACCAACTGGATCAAGTCGGTGAACCGAGTGTGGCCATCGTCCAGACTGTAGAACAACTCCCCTTCATCGTCCACCTGCAGCGAAGTATGTGCAGACACACAAAGCAATCACACACATGAGACAGGTGAACGTTAATGGAATTACTTTTGAAATCCTCAACAACTTTACTTTCAGTCCCTAAAACTTAAGACACTCATGCAGTGGGTTGTACTCACTGGTAAGATCTGAAAGTGTTTGATTTTCTGCATGTGGCACAGCGACAGAACAAAAGTCTTCGGGTTGCTTTGGCTGTCTCTCAGAAGAAACACTCTGAAACAACAAGAAAAGCTCTTTATCGCAGTTGTTAAGCTGAAGTATGTGCATAAAATGGTCATTTTTTTCCAACATATCGTGCTGGATTTACCAACATTTAATGAACACATAATAACTTACCCTCATTTTTTAATATATGATCTGTGTTGTTTTTGTATTTTGGAAAATGTGTAATATTAACAAACAATATTGGGATAATGCAATGTCATAATACAGTCTTATGTAGTTCTGACTCCTAGAAATATATAACTAACACTCTAGTGTACACTTGTAATGTCTCCTGTAGATGTATTCATTTTTAAATACATGTGTGACTCCTCATTCGTAATCACACTGCTAACAATAATTTTATTTAATGGTGAAAGGAGCACATTTTTACTGCCATATTTCCCTTTTTTTTCTAAACAGATAAAGGAAACAGCTTCAGTAAATGTTGGGACCCCTGTGGTCTATCTATTGTTAATAGCCCACATGATTTAAATGAGACCATGCACAAAAAAGAAGACTATAACCAAAGTCCTAACAGGGCCTTATGACCTGTCTGGTATAAGTGCTCACCCATCAATAAGACCCTGTTGAGTGATCAGACGCTGAGCCTCTTCCCGGGACAGTTTTCCGTGGAACCACGGCTGAGCCAAGTGGATAGCTGGAGCACAGGAACGGTGTGTTACAGTTTTTCTATCGGTTTTGTACATATACCAAACAAATAAACAAGTGTTTCACAAACCTATGTTTGGCACAGAGCTCTGTGCTGTGGAGGGGCTCCCATGACCACTCAGACGGTGGCAGCTTTTCCTCTGAGCCAGAAATGAGTTAGAGGACAATAAAAGCAGAAAAAAAATGTTAAGATGTAGTAAATTTATCCTGCTGTTCTTGTCTTGTTATTCCAGCTGACGTATGAGATGCACAATTGTTGGCTCTATTAGGCCTTAATTTGTTCTGTTAAGCCACTGTATGTATGAATATGCTGCATGTTGTTCAGAAATATTACACAAATTCTTATTAACTCTAAGATTATACTTTGTAAGAACCCATTATTACATGTGAGGGATTTGCTGCTACATTCTCTCACCCTTGTAGAACCTTTAAAGCACATTTATTTTTTTAAGGTCACTGTAATATTCATGTTTCTACTGGATGAAGCATTCAGGAAGATGGTTATTTTAATTAAAGCATTGATGCTTATTACCCTGTCTTATTTATTTACCATATTTAAACCCTCTCTAAGTGTGAACTCCTGACCTACCCTCCAGGACAGGCCTTCCTCTACCGCCACAGACAGCGCCTCAGACGGATTCTCGATCACCCGGCTCTTCTGGCCAGAAAAGTCCATGGCTACCAGTGAGTTCTCTGAGATGCTCCTCTGAAATGGCACAGTGGTTATTTGGATTGTTTTCCGCACAACAGATATTCACCCAATAACATTGGTGCTTATAGAAAAACCTATTTTCTAATAAATTGCACAATGATCTAAAATAGCCGTGGTTCTTCTTATGTTTGGTCCCCTTCGCTTTGTGTACAGTGAAAAGGCTGCCTGGTGGTATTGTATTGCCATCTAGTGTCTGAGTAACGTGACTCCATCTTCATCATTTCTAGATGATTCCAGGCAGAAAACTCTATTGAAAAGGGATTAGAGTGGCTTTGAAAAGAATGACACATGGGCACATTTTAGTCCTTTAAGCTGTCATATAGTGAGTGGCTCTAAATAACTCCACACACACTCAAGAAAATTCTTCTTATCGGGATTACCAAGAAGCTTTTAGATTACCACATTCATTCCTCTACCAACTACTAAGCTCGCAATTTAAACAAGTGGTTAAAACAAAGTGAGTGGTTTCTACTTTCACAGCCTCTCTCATCCACGCTGCGCCGCTCCCAGTGATGTAAAGAGGAATAATATTGTTTTCAAATGCATTCATCAACACTTAATATGGCTTTTTTTTTTTTCATTATTTCAGAGTAATTCCATGAAGCAGGGACCCTTAAGACTCTCTGAAGGCCAAAAAGCACCTTAACTCCAGGTTCTTCTGGACAAACACTCTCAACGTTCTCGTGCCTTGAAGAAGATATACAGACTGTCATGTTGACCACGTAAGATTCAGTAGCCTGACCCTGCATTTGGCAGATTCATGTACTCTCCTATCTTTCTAGCTAATCCTCTTGGCGAGGCTGTTGGTCGCATATGACCCTCCGACAGCAGGGAAGAGGTGATGAGTTGTTAAATCTGAGAGCAGCTGATCACTATGTATTTTTAGAAAGCGAGCAGTTCGCGAACATGTCCATAACCCATAAATAGATTGTGTTTGCTGCCGCAAAAATACTCCCAGTCGAGACTGAGGCTATTCTGGGACACGAAACCTACATTAGTGCACTGAAGGTGCCTCATTTGTCCTATGCAGTTATATTAATACACTGCTATGTGTTGGCATGTGTTATCTAAGTGCGTGAAAATGTGTCTTTAAAGCTACAACTGATTTTCTTCTGGGGGCAGTGGGACAAGCTCAAAGCACAACAATGACATGTTACCATCACATAAATCTGTGATTAACTCTTTTAGCAAACATCCAGCACACATGATGCAGCATTACTGTTATTCCTATTTATGACCACCTGAGGAATGTAAGTCCAATTCCATTAGCTTTGGTGTGGTTTTATGACATTTAGCTGCTACATGCTCGACATGTTCCCCGGCTAGATGCTCACATTATCAGCTTGTTGTTTGGTATATTATTGCTATCATAAAGTGAGCTTGTCACAGATTTTAGGGAAGAAAAAAAAAAGTTATCCACTGCTCCAAAAGAGACTGACAAGTGCAGAAATTGTGGACTAAAAGAGAAACAAAGTCATGAACTTGACTTCAAAAGGAGCTAAAAGGCTCCATGTAGCTAAACTTCAAAGTTATGGAGGTTTGTCACAACAGTCTTCTGGTTACACAAAATCATTTGATTTATTGCTAATATAAAAAATACTGATTAAACTATATGTTAAAAAGATTCTCAAAGCCATCTACGTTACAAGAAAACATAACAATATCCACTGGTCAGCCACTACAATTAAACCATGTGCTCCTAGTGTCGTGGAGGTATGGGATCTCTTGGTGCCCTGTAGTGTCTGGCACCAGGATGCCGACAGTGGATCCATGAATCTGGATTTTTCCAGCGAATCATGTGGATGCTCAGTCAGATTGGGGCTCTGGAGGCCAGGTAGGCTCTTTGTCATGCTCCTCAACCTGTTCCTGAGCAGTTTTTGTGGTGTAGCAACACACATTGCCCTGATTGATCTGCAACAATGCTTAGGTGGGTGGTAACTAGCCGTAATATTCCCAGCAGAACATGACCCAACAGTGTATAAGGCAGAGGCTGACATACAAACAAAAAGAGCTTCAGCTTACCATTGGTGAAGCTTTTTGCTTCTGGTGTGGCTGAACAAAATTTTGGTAGAGTTGCATCCCAAACTGAAACATGAAGAAAAGCTATTATCTCACATTTTCATTCAAATACTTGTTACGCGCTAACTTCAAAATCCCTTAATGAAAAGAAGCACATTCACATAAGTCTGTACTGTATATTATTTGTGGACTAGCAGGAGTGACTAATGCTCTAAACTGTATCCAGCAGGTATCCAGACAATGAACACATGCTGCTTCTATCAGGAGTGGGAGTGCTAATCCAGCATCACTCAATAGTTTCCCTTGACCTCTTCCCAAAGCTAAATCTGATTCTAGCACTGACTCAGCATTCCTCCGCTTAGATATCACCCTGAGTTATTCATCAGCAAGCCAACCTTTAACAAGCGCATGGCTGTGATCCAGCAGGTCCTGGTCTGCTCATCATCGGCACAAAGCAGCTTCAAGTCCCGGGCTGAACCGCACTTGGTGGACTAGGGCGAGAAGTTACAGGGAGATGAAAGAGTTCAATATGCCGGGAATCAATACTCTACTTCTGGTGCTTTTGTACACTTTTGGCATTTTTCGGTTGTATGGTAACCATCAATGCTCGCGTACTTAAAGGAAAGCGATGGTACCTTGACACAGAAGCCAAACTCTGTAGGTGCTCCATGTAGTTTTTTGGCTGACAACACAGTGTAGACATGACTGTCACTGAAGTCAGCGAAGAACTGGAGATGCCTTGGTTCCTGTGAAACAAAGAGAGGTCACAATAAAACAGAAGTACAGCAAATGTATGAACGCTAGATGTGAGGTATGTAACAACAAATCTCTACAGCTGGTGTGTGAGAGGAATAGATGGGCTGCATCTCCAGCTTTCTGGTTTATTTTTGAACTGATGGAGTAATGCACAAAGAATAATGCACATAAATGCAATTATTTTTAGAAATTATTAGGACATGCTTCTGCTGAAATGCTAAAGCTGCAAAAAGCTGGATTATGTAACGCCATCTACATTGGTATCATGCTTGCAGTGTAATCTCCCGGGTGTTGGAACATGATAGCTCACTTAAAACATACTGCAAGTGGAGGCCGGCGCACTTAAATTTAAACAGTGCATTCTTATCTAAAAATAACACGTTATCAGTCATTGCGGGTGTGGTTGGAGTATAAATGTAATGAAAGATAAATTTAGACGTATTGATATGGAGCGCATTGAGACAGTATCAATAGTTACATTGTGCCAAAGATAACTTTCCAAGAAAAAAAAGAGCTCAAAGAGTGCCATTGTTCTACTTGCATGTGACACACTGTTCCCACTTCCTTATCTAAAGTAATGCCACAGCCATTAGTGTCTGCGGCGGCTGACTACCAATGTGTCTGACCGAGACCACAGATGAATGGCAAACACGCCAGACTAAAAGTGGGCGCCATACCAAAGCCTACCTGCACTGGGAAACAAAAGGTCTATTGTTGTAGAAAATGAAAGCAGTTGAAAAGTGGTTGTGTTGGCATGGCCGGTGCCCAGGTATAAGCCTCACTTGTCAGCAGCATTAAGAGTACTGTTTCTGCCTGGCTGCTGTGCCAGCTGACCGAAGGAAAATCGAGCTCAACCTGTTCCACTGCCCTCTCACAACTGAAGTGACATGTATGCAGAGGATGAACTGGTGACAGCATCGTGTTCAAACAGAGCCCTGTGATGAAGCTTTATAGATTAAAACAAGTTTCCCAGTTTTCATTCTATTTACTGTGTAAACTAAGGACTGTGCATTTTATTTAAAGAAGGAAAAAAAAAACATGACAGACTGGTGCAATGGAATGTAATGCAAACACACTGGGTAAATTCAACAAATGCCCCATTCATTAATCTGCTTTATAGATTTGTTTTGAATTTTCTAACATGTATAAAATATTATGAGTCCTTTTAAACTAACCTTGGAAGTCCCCTTATTGGAGAAATAAAGTCCCGACCTCCGCAAGACAAAATAAAACTTCTTCCAAGACTTTCTGCTTTGCTCTTTGGCATGGAGGTATCCATGGATCTCTGGACAAGTGCTGGATTTGAGAAAGGTCTGCGTTGGGTAGAGAAATATTTGTCCATAGATGGGTGTGTGCAGTAAATTATCAAGGCAACACTTTAGACAGCGGTGAGAAACCAACAACTGGCAGTAAAGAATATGCTGTGAATAGAACAAACGTGATACCTGTATGAGCTCAGAGTGATCCACCATGCCATTGGTTTCAGTGGATATGGAGACCATGTGATCTGGGAAAAAGTCCTACGAACATGAAAGCAGCGTCAGTCAGTACAACACGCTTTAGCCTCTCCGGCCTACATAATAGTGGCGAAAGTTAGTTCAAAGAAAGTCCAAGATGATCTCCACGTATATCTTCATCACAGACTAACCAGGGGTTTCTTGAAGAATTCATATTTAGCATAATTCTTCCTGAAATATAGCCGGCTGTCTGAGTCCATCCCCCAGCCTGAAGACACCTCCATAACCGACTCATGGTCTTCAATGGTTCTCTCTGGAGAGAGCAGAAAGGGGAGAAAATGAAAGGTCAACCTGTCAGGTGTAATATCACATCAAAGCTAAAGTTTAAATATTCTTAAAATCACAACGATCTCTGCTAAACCTCTCCCGGCAAGAGTTTTATTATTTAACTTTGAGGGCAGCGAGTTTGATTATTAACCATTTATTAATGTGTAACCGCAGAATGAGCGCATGGCTCCCAGTCAAAAAGTGCAACATAAACATTAATTATTTCTAGAACTTAAAATGAATGTTGAATTAATGTGAAACTTCCTATGTTCAGAAAGACATGCGTGGCAGTGTTCAGTAACACAAAGAATTTAGCAGATGATACTCAGCATGTAACTCCTGTAATAGTTTAGCTCAGAGTAAATGGACACAAAAACAGAACAGATGAATGAATTATGTAATGAGTGCAACAGCATGAAAATGCTGCTAAGAAATCGTTTATGCAACTGTACTGTTTTCCAGCAAATCAGTGTATGCCAGTAATAACACTGTATGTGTGACGAACTATGTTATCATGCACCACTCATGAAAGAAACTCGTGCCTTTAATGTACAAATGCATATGCCACAGTAAATAAATGGTCACTTGTTCAAATGTTTTCATCAGTATCTAAATCAACTGTTCATAAAATATGTAATAAAATAAACCAGCCATAGTTAAAGCAGGTTGACGCCTTTACAAATACCAGGCGCTTTAACTTAAAACAGATCAAATCAGCAGCGCTTAGACCTCACAGCAACTTCTTGGATTCAACCAAATCCATCCAGACAATACGAGCAGGGCGACTTTACCTTTGCAAACTGACTTTTAAATTTAAATTGAACATGAAAAGAAAATGTCTTTATGCTTTGTAGGAATTAGGGTCACCGCTGATTAAAACACTGATGGTATAAAATGTCAGTATTTTTGACAACAGTTATTTGGAACTTTATCAAAACGTCCAAGGAGCCGTGTAGCTCTGAGCCTGTGATGAGCTACAGGGAGATCTATTGATACGACACCGTCTCAGAGTTTTAATTATGAGATTGACGACAGGATTTTTACATTCTCACTGACTACCGAGAACACAACAAGCCACTTCTGACTGAATCTTACCTATTCCCAGATGGGAGAGGTGTTCAAAAAGAGTCCAGCTGTGGTCATCAATGCAGTGGTTCTTCAAGACAAATAGCTGGCAAATGTCCCGGGCAGTAACGTCAGTGGGAACCTCTACAGCTTTGCTGGTGTTATCTTCATTATAAACTTTAATTACCTGAAACAGAAACATTAAATTAACAACTATTTCAACGATGCAGCAGGTTGAAGAACTGTTGACTTTAAGGGAGTACAAGCGAAGGGATGTTTTTGGCTGGAAGTAATACAATGAAAAGTGTTAAAAGTGAGTCAAAGCAGCAGAGAAATTAATCAGTTTGATCCACATACAGCAGGTTGTAACTGTTTCCTAATGCAGCAACACAATATCTGAAAAACGTCAGTAGTTGAATGCCCTCCAAAGTAGAGCACAATATGCAAAGTGTGTTCCAGGATGTAGACCGGAACATGTAGAAACAGTGCAGAAATCTTGCAGTACCACTAACAAATTAATCGGTCAGTAAAAGGAACTTACCCCGCTGTTTGCAGCCAAGCATAGTGGTGAGTTTGGACAAGCTCTGTAGCCTAAACATGGCTGAGTACACAGCATTGCAAAGGAGAGCTTTTGTGAGAAACATAAAAACACGCATCAGACAGCACAGCAAGTGTCAGCTGGCAAGCAGCGAGTCTCTCTCCCCCCCACTCTCTCTCGCTCTGAGCTGCAGTGAAGCTGAAAGGAGGTAATTAGACAAAACTGCCTCTTAGCACAGCGCTTTCCTGACTCCACATATCTGTATCACTGGGGCTCGATACCAAATCACCTGCCTACTTTCCCCACCGCTAAGAGTCAAGAAGCCAGAGATCAATCTGCTCATTCACTGGGGTGGAGAGAGAGAGAGAGAGAGAGAGAGAGTCACATGGCTCCAGCCTCCTTTCTATTCACATTCACACACCCATGGCAAGCAGATCTCCTACATAATGCCCTGCAAGAGCCCAGAGAGCAATTACAAAGGTGCTGGCTAAATGTAATGGTAGTTGGGTCAATTCAGGCTACAGTTGACAGAAGCGGGTATAAAGACGAAGGGAGGGCGGTGCAGCAAAGACCAGATGGCTGTCTCTCTTTTTTCTCTTAGAGAGGTCTGTTGGTGGTTTAAAGATGGGCATGGAGAACCTGACTCCTTTTGTGGAAACGGCTGAGGGCTGAACCCTCAAGGAGTTATCGGCAAATGGGAGCCTCCAGCTATGACATCACCTCTTAGCGTAAACCATTTAGCGTTCAATCAGTCCACGTGGAGCCTCACTGGAGAAATCTCTTTCTTTTTTTTGGAGATGTCTAACACACACAAGCTCTAAACAGATTAGTCAATCATCCGCTGTTTATCGTAGATGATGCTGCATCAGAACAGGGCAGGTTCATGATCTAAATGTATTTTGAAGATAATCAGAGAAGAAAACAACAGCAGATGAGAACATCCAAAACCACCTAAAATAAATAAATCCTACATCAAACAGCATAAATATTCACTGCACTGCAGACGACGAGCACATCGTGGGCCTCAGCGGGCTGCTTCAAGGATGTCTCCCTGAGAATCGGCCAAATCAAATCACTCGGGCATCGCATTTCACCAAGAGCAGGGCAGGGTTTGTCAGAGGGCGCAGAGCCCTTTGTGAAGCATTAACATTGCAGATGTGCTTTATGTTTGCATTACTTGGCAGAAGCTAGATGAAAACATCATGCGTTAGTTTCATGCAAAGTGAAGTTTGGATGTAGAGATGCCACATCGAATCGAATGAATGCCATTAGAAGAGTACATCTCATCTGAACCATGAAACGAATGCATGCAGACACTCAGACACTTTTATGTGGCTGTTTCACAAGAGGAAAAGATATTTTTTGTTAAAGATTTAATAAAAAGACCTATGACAAATCTGATGTAGTTCATGTGTTGTGTAGCTTAGACTGAGACACTGTGCTCATACACTGCTGCCCTGGAATGCATGTTTAAAGGCCTGCTGAGACCAATAACTTGTTCTTGCAGTCGTGCTAAATATACAGATGCCCTGTGAAGAAAGTGAGAAAAATAAATCCTGGGATCCAATTTGTGTGTGATTTTTTTTTAGGCTTTGTCATGATCATCTTTAAAGGTTTATCTTTTTTGTCCTCGTCATTGTTTGGTACGTGACAGGATCGTTTTTTAAAGTGCTTGTTTTTTTAACACCGATTTTGGCCACAAAAACTGCAAGTGTACTGAACACCCGTATTCCAGTTTTGTTCCATGTGAGTTTTAATTTCTCCACATGATATGAAACACATGGTCCATATATTGTGTGCTAGTATAACCGCTATGTTAGCATGAGTTATACTGATGTTAGTCCACTGGCTAGAAAGTGACAAACATATGGCCAACGACTAACCAACAGCTACAATTTAGTTTAAGTCGACTGCATTGCTAGTTTGCTGTTGAGACACAATGCGGGAGTCACAACGGACAGAGCAAAATAGGTTTTCAAAACTTCTAGCAGGAGTAGCCAATAAAATATTCTGGATGAAAATTGAACCTCATTACCTCAATTAAGACAACTTTATCAGGTCTGTAGTGTTATTATGGGGAATACATAAACTTAAGCTCTGTTTACACATGTTGCTGACCTACGTGTTGAAACCACTGACTGTGTATCAAGCGGTTAAAACACACCTGACACGCCTACTCGGATAGAAACCTGTTCCCGAGATCATGCTTTCCTTTCAGAGTCTCATTACAAACTTGTGTCATATATTTCAGGGAATTCAGACACACATCAAACCTGGCTGAACGTCTTGTTTCTATTGGCTGCGCTGCTATGCCTGAGCTCGCCAGGCAGCGCTTAGCCACCGTGGCTCAGTTCAAGTCATTGGAAATAATGAGTTTCAGAGTGCAGTGATTCCATTGTCGCGTGGCCGTGAGTCATGGTAATGGAGACACTCGCCCTTTATGAGTCGGATGTTTTACCAATAGAAGTGGGACATTTGGACATTTGATATGATATATATATATATAACTGCACTGATTGCATTTAAATAATAATTATTATTATCTATATTTATGGTGCTGACCACTGACCTCTTCTGGCCAAAATGTGTATTACAAAA